GCTTGGAGACGGACTTTACTACTAGCAAGTAGAGAGATGGATATGGTATAGGGTCTGAGGCGTATGGGGGTTCGAGGTGGTGTGTAGCATGAGAGGGTGTTTTTGGCGTTTACATGGGACGGTCGATGGATCGAGGGTATACCTGATATCAGTAAATGATGATTTGAAAGTTCAAACCTGTCTTACGCCTATGATGTCTTGTGCTGTTTGTAATTGTCTGTGATGGGCGCGTCGACGCGTCTTGCTTTGGACGCGCGTGTTCCTCTCGACTCATGTCTTCGCCCAGAGTAGTGACCGTACGACGTGTCTAGAGAGCGATCTTCAGGGCTTTCGTATTCTTGAGAAGCAGGTTTCGTATAATCGACGTGGCCGCTGCCTCCTTAGTCTCGATGTTCCCAACCGTGTTGCGTGTGGCATCTCATCGATAGCTTGCGGAGCTCGGGGGAGAGCAGCGGTACGTTCGGCGGTGTGTATACAGTAAATTCCAAGGCTATCGCGGCTTTGCTGAAAGGTGCCCTGTTCAATACTGTCCAAAATCGAATGCATGGACCTGCACTTGCCGTAAGGGTCAAGATCGCGATGTGCTCGTCCTACTTTAACTCGCACGGGCAGGAGCTACACGCTAGACCCTGTTTGCTTGGCATCCATGTGTAGAACATCCACTTATTCCCCCCGTCAGTCGTGCATGCAGAGAAACAGCTAGATAGCTTGCCGGGGTGTTGTGCGTCTTCCTTGCTCGTTCCAATTCCATGTCCTGCTCTCGATTGCGCCATAAGCCTGCAGCCAGCGTCTAGAAAGCGCTGACAGGCGCCCCTTTCGCGAACTATCGACCTCCGCTCCGCAGCGCGCACGCCGGCATAAACCCTGCCTCGAGGCCCGTACCGCACCATTCCATAGCGCACCACCACTACCGCCGCCGCATTGTCGGGCTACTTACCAGGTGGGAACCGCCCACCCACCACGTCGTCTACTACCACCAGCATGGCGGCCTCGGTCACTTCCAAGATGGCAGCGAGGGCTGGTGGAGGCCTCTTCAGCCGGGAGCAGTCGGGCAACGTGCCCACGATGCGAGGTACATGACGGCATGCCCACGAACAACGGACCGAAGCTCACACGCGGACAGGACTGGTCTCATTCATCGCTGATCTGAGGAATGCTCGCGCGAGAGAACTCGAAGAGAAGCGCATCAACAAGGAATTGGCCAACATACGGTGGGTACACGCTGCCGAGTTCTAAGCATGTCCGGAAGGCTAACAGTACCGCAGGCAAAAGTTCAGAGGTACTTCTCCTTGAATACGCCTCCCACATGACCTGTTCTGACAGAAAAACCCCCAGATGCCGGCCTGAATGGCTACCAGAAGAAGAAATACGTCTGCAAGGTACACACGCCACTCACCGACTCTCCTGCTCTATTGCTGACTCCCGCAGCTCCTCTACATATACATTCTCGGTTGGAACGTCGATTTCGGACATCTCGAAGCGGTCAACCTCATCTCCGCGACCAAGTACTCGGAAAAGCAGATCGGATACCTCGCCGTTACCCTATTCCTACACGAGGAGCACGAACTGCTACACCTGGTCGTTAACAGCATCAGGAAGGACCTGTTGGACCACAATGAGCTCAACAACTGCCTGGCGCTGCATGCGATTGCGAACGTTGGTGGAAAGGAGCTGGGAGAGGCACTAAGCGCCGAGGTTCACAGGCTTCTGATATCACCGTGAGTGGCATGAGATGGGTTTCGTGGCCAAGCTGACGTCGAATAGGGCCTCCAAGGCATTCGTGAAGAAGAAGGCCGCCCTTACACTCCTGCGATTATACCGAAAACATCCCGCGATCGTACAGCACGAATGGGCGGAACGAATAATATCGCTTATGGACGACCCCGATATGGGCGTGGCGCTTTCCGTAACCTCGCTGGTCACGGCACTCGTTCAGGACAACACCGAGCAATACAAGGGAAGCTACATCAAGGCAGCGAATAGGCTGAAGCGGATAGTAGTGGACAACGAGTGTGCCGAAGGCTACTTCTACTACAAGGTGCCATGTCCGTGGATACTGGTCAAGCTGCTCAAGTTGCTGCAGTACTACCCACCTCCCGGTTTGTGTCTTCTCCAGCTATTATCAACTCGCACTAACAGAAACAGAGGACTCACATATCCGAAAGCTGATTCGCGAAGCGCTCCAAAAGATTATGGACTCAGCCCTCGAAATGCCCAAGAACGTACAGCAGAACAACGCACAAAACGCCGTCCTCTTCGAAGCGATCAACCTCGTAATACACCTCGACACAGAGCAAGACCTGATGGTTCAAATATCACAACGGCTAGGCAAATTCATCGCGTCTCGGGAAACCAACGTGCGGTATCTAGGACTGGAGGCCATGACGCATCTGGCTGCTCGATCTGAGAACCTTGATCCCATCAAGAAGCACCAGGCAATTATCATCGGATCGTTAAGAGACAGGGATATCAGTGTACGAAGACAGGGTCTGGACCTACTATACAGCATGTGTGATCCGACGAATGCGCAAGCGATCGTGAACGAACTCCTCCGATACCTACAATCTGCCGACTACGCGATACGGGAAGAGATGGTACTCAAGATTGCGATTCTTACCGAGAAGTACGCCACTGATGTTCAGTGGTACGTGGACATATCACTACGACTGATCGCCATGGCTGGAGACCACGTTAGCGATGAAGTCTGGCAGCGAGTCATCCAGATCACGACGAACAACGAGGAGCTGCAAGTGTACGCTGCGCAAACGATTCTGCAGTACATCAAATCGGACTGTCACGAGACGCTTGTAAAGATTGGTGGATACCTGCTCGGAGAATTCGGCCATTTGATTGCGGATAGCAAAGGATGTAGCCCGATCGAGCAGTTCATGGCGTTGAGCGCAAAGATGCGAGGTTGCTCGTCAACGACACGGGCGATACTCTTGTCGTGTTACGTCAAGTACGTGAACTTGTTCCCCGAGATCAAGCCTCAGCTTCTTCAGGCTTTCCGCGCCTACAGCCACTCGCTCGACTCCGAACTCCAGCAAAGAGCATGCGAATACCTCACACTCGCCACCATGCCGACGGACGACCTACTGCGTACCGTATGCGACGAGATGCCTCCTTACCCAGAACGGACGTCAGCGCTGCTCTCGCGGTTACACCAGAAGCACGCCACTACTAGCGACAAGCGAACGTGGGTGGTTGGTGGCAAGGATGCAAATGCGGACCTCAAAGAATTTGGTCTTGCAAGGCAGAATACGTCTGCGGGTGTTAAGAGAAGCTTCACCGAACCTGTACCAAAGGACGCCAAGACCGGCGCAGCAAATGGCGCCAACGGTGTCGCAGCGATATCAAGTGATTTGGAGGGTCTAGATCTCAACATGGATCTGAGCAAGGCTTCCAAAGCACCAAATCTCGCAAGCGCAGCGCATCTCAGTCCCGATTGGGAGGTTGGCTACACTCGTCTCCTATTACGGTCGGAAGGCGTGCTCTACGAAGACCAGCAAATACAGATCGGTCTGCGAACAGAGTACCGCGGGCAGTTGGGCGCTCTCATCTTCTACTTCACGAACAAGTCACAGTTCTCCATGGGATCTTTCACCACGACACTCGACAACCGGTCATCGGAAACCTTGAAGACGGACATCAAGGGCCTACCCGACACCTCCATCGCGCCCGAAGGCCAGACGCAGCAAACAATCATGTTCGAATGCAAGAACGTCTTCATCGACCCTCCCACTATTCGTATATCCTACCTCGCCGGAGCCTTACAGGGTCTAACCCTCCAACTGCCCGTCCTCTTACACAAATACATGGAAGGCGCCGAACTCAGCGCCGAAGACTTCTTCAAGCGCTGGAAGCAAATCGGCGGCGCCCCGCGCGAACACCAAAGTATCTTCGGCCTGATCAACAAGAACCGAACGATGGACTCTGATTTCGTGCAAAAGGTGGTCAAGGGCTTCAAGTGGGGTATTGTGACTGGTGTGGATCCTAATGGCAAGAATATTGTCGGTGCGACGGTGTTGCATTCGAGTGAGGGCAAGTTTGGATGCTTGTTGAGGCTGGAGCCGAACTTTGAGACACAGGTATGTTGGTGTGCTTTGACAAGGGGGATGAGGATGCTAACGAGGTGTAGATGTACCGGATCACTATCCGTGCGACTGATGAGTCGGTTCCGCCGGTCTTGGTCAAGGCTATGCAAGACCGCCTCTCGCAGGGTATTGAGGGCATGGCTTAAACCACTGGGTTCCTTGCCTTCCCACCTCTCTACCAACACCAACACTATTCTTACACCATCACCCTCATGATGTGTACACACTTGGAACGTTTTGTTCATATACTAATGTTTTTGTCTGGGAAACTCTGGGCTGTTGAGAGAGAGCGAAAGAAGTATGTTTGATGGCTGGGCTGGACTGCATATGTAGCGTTCATTCTTGAGGAGAAGGAGGAAAACATTGAGATATGGCGCATACCCTTGTTTCTGGCTCATGTAGCATGATTATATATATCTATTGGAGCGTTTTTTTGTTTCGTGGAAATTGGGCTTTGATTTTGATTCTTGTGGGTGATGTTGAGAGGTGACGAGGATGATGCTTGAGTGACGCGAATACCTTCAGGATATGTTTTGCTGTTGCCTTGGAAAATACGAGCTTCTCCATGTTGTCGTGGCGCACATGAATTCCTGAGGACAAGCCATGTGTGCTTCAGTTCTGAAAACCCCAGAATCATAGAATGTGTTGTCCAACTTAGTGGAGTTGATGTAACTTGAGTTCAGTCATTGGTTCGAAAAGCATGGCTCGACCAAACTACACTCCACGGTACTGCTCTCTTTCCCCCATAAAACAGAACTTAAGTTCTGCTTCTGTCCTCAAAGTCATTTATCCCTCTAACAACATAACACATCGCGAGAACCTGCCGGCTCCATCTTCACACAACTTCCGCCACCACAAACACCTACATATCCCTCAACCCCACATTCACCTCTCCGCACCATCAAAATGGCCGAACGCAAGACTATCCAGAAGTACTATCCCGCCGACTTTGACCCAGCAAAGCTAGTGCGCTCAAAGAAATCTCCAACCCCTACCCGCACCGTCGTAAACTTCGCCTGCCCTTTCCGCAGCATGCGATGTCTCTCCTGCGGCCACTACACCACCCGCGGCAAAGTCTTCCGCAATAGCCCCAAATATGTCTCGCCAGAGAATTACCTTGGCGTGAGGATAGTGACGCTGCATTGTAAATGTCCTAACTGCGCCGCACAAATCATCATCGAGACTGATCCTAAGAATATGGATTATAAGATTGTGAGGGGGGCGGTTAGGGGGTTTGAGGCGTGGATGGATAATGAGCGCGCCACAGATACCGAAGAGCAGCGCTTAAACCGTCTTGAAGCTGAGGGCCTTGACGGAGGCGAAGAGAAAGCGACTATGGAGACGCTGGAACGGAAGGCTGAGGATGCGAGGGTTGAGAGTGCTGTCGCTGATGCGTTGGATGAGATTAGAGCGGCGAATGCGCGGAGAGAGGGCGTTGGTAAGGGATGTAGTCTGGCTACTCTTGCGCTATCGAGGGAAGTTGAGGATGCGGAAGATGCGGAGATCGCAAGGGCTGTTTTTAGGGGTACGAAGAGATGTTCGCCAGATTCCGAATCATGTGGAGGGTCGCTGAACGTGGAGTTCTCGGTGTCTAGGCCGGCGAAGAAGGTCAAGAAGGATCTTGCGAAGGCGTTGGGGATTAGGAGGTAGATCGATATCGAAAGTCGGAAATGGTTTATCACAGCTCTCTTCTACCAAATCCATTCTACTCGATGCTATATGATGCTACAAACTAACCGAGGGGCAGGGCTCTCACATACTGCTTAATGCGTGACAAATTCGATATATGGACGAATCTTTTGTAGTCTCCTCGTACAATTCGCCACAACATGTTCTGTTCGTTTGGTATTGTCTTCCATATATGATACTTCATTTGCCGTTCGCTTTTGAATTTTTCAGGGTCATACGACTTCCAGAACAAGACTTGCCACAGCCAGCTTGGCTCTTGTGGTGTTAGCTTCGGATGAAGTCTCGAAGATCCATCGTCCGGATCAAATGGAGGCAAGGGTATAGTCGTGAGTATATAACGGCGAACAGATTTTCTGTCTATTCGAACACCACTTTCCTCGAGTTGCGGGAGCCAATTCGCTGCCGTGAGAATGCAATGTGCTCTGATGTTGTAGTCTTTCCAATATTCGGCGTAGTCAGACTCGGTATATGAGACAGCAACCTGCTTAGTGAGAAGCTCAAGCAGAATCTCTTGCGGATGCATCGAATAATCGGGAAATACCCGAAGTGATGGATGAAGCATGCCCATCATACCGAATACGCGATCTCGCGGATTCTCGCATTCGGTGCCCTTGAGCAAAAGCACAACAGAATCCCAACTCTTGCCTGTACTGTCTCGACTCGAGTTGATCTCGTGTATTCGGTACAATCCTTTACCTTCTTTGGTTTCCAGGTTCTCATGTTTGTCTGTATCGGGTAGACGATTCCATGCCCTCTCCAATCTCAGCCAGCCCGGGTAGAAAGTTTCCCACGAGAGGGTTTTCGCGCCAATGCGTATCTGAACAAGTCTCCCGAGTACGATTTCTTGGGTAACCCACAGTCTTGACCAGTATGGTAGACGTACAAACTGGCGCAAAGATGGGATAAACGTCTGCAGTTCCGGATTACTCATACTGAACATTGGCGGAGGGGTCTGATGGGAGAGATCACCTTCGTAAGTGATCAAATCCATAAGCTCGTCACTTCCTTCGAATCCAGAACCTAACCAAGCCTCGACGACATAGGCTGCGCTATAAATATCTGCCATCTGGTTGACCTGGTGGGACTTTTCGTCATCCTTTCCTTGATTGATGCATATCTGATCGATCCAGAATGAAGCCGGGTCAAGATTTTGTCTCATCTCCAGGAACTCGTCGATATTTTGCCGTCCCGAAAGCCAGTTTCGCTTGGTCTTCAAGAATTCGTAAAGATTCTGCCGAACTGAAAACCAGCCCCGGTATTCAGGGCTTGTAACAAGTATATCCTGCGCTGGTGACACGGGGCCCCAGGTGTACGATAACGCGATGAAGTTGAATGTTCCTTGCATGAACTCGTCATATATAGCCCTATCCCACTCTCTGCTGACCCCTTCAATTGCTTCACCTCCAAGTCTGTCTACTTCCACGCGATAACGAGTAAAAGCATTAATGCGTTCACTAAAGTCGACGTTCTGTATAGTGATCTCAATCGGACTAGACGGGTCGGAACTTGGTTGGATCGTTATGAGGCGTATCTCCTTATTCTTGAAGTTCAGTGGAGTGTGCGTGAATCGCACATGCTTAGGTGGCGACTCCATCGCTGCGATAAGACTGTGCGTAAACGTTCGCTAGGCTGTTGGGGCGATGCGGGCTTTCGTGGGAGCGTCTCGCTCTTTCGTTGAATGAGTTGTGCTACATGCGACATGTGTGGTGCAGACCGACCTGTAACGTCTGCATTATATCGACTTTGGTGCTGTAGCGAAGGTTAAGATTCTCTGACGTTTTGCAGCATCGAGGCGGAGTAAGCGCAGGAGGCTGAGCGCTTTCGGGCTGACCTGAACATGCTCCAGGCAATGGGCTATGCGAGCCTGCAGACCATCACAACTGGCGGGTTAATCTAACGCAGGCATGGGTAACCTGCGTTTGTGGATAAAATGATCATTAGAGCGAACGGGATACTTATATTTCATATTTAACACCGATGTACCGGTGCGCAAACCATTTGCTGTCATGAAGAAAGGTGCAGCTTGCGGCAAGAATCACATTGCCTACAGCCCACGAAAACTAGGCCGAATGAGGCTTAGGGGCTAGTGCTTCGGAAAGAACGGGCGAGTGTTCGCACATATCCAGCTGCGAAGAACAGCACCATCAAGGTCAAGAAACGCAAATTTTTAGCAAAGCATATTGTCATCTATTCAATGCTATTCGCATCGAGTTCAACCGTCATTGCCATTAACCAGAACGTAGTCCATATCTTCACATGCAGACTGTGAGCTCACCATCCTCACAAACATTCGAGGTCTACTAAACCCCCTTCCCTTTCCACATCTATCTCATCATCTCATTTTATACATACGCGAAACATCTTCCATTCATATACTATACCTACCATGCGCTGTAAGCGATTAATCGCCCAAGTGAACCACCTCCACTACCCCCCCCACACACCAGCAACACAACACCATCCCTCACCTCTCAAGCTCCCTAACACAACATAAATTCTCCGACGCAAGCACCGCAGACACCACAAGCACGTTCCCTGGCATCTCTCGCGTCGTGTGACCAAAGACTCGACAGCAAAAGCCCGGTCCGAGCCGGGTACTTACACCGTGAGCTGCATGGCCGGTGGGTGCCTGGTGCTTCTGGGGCGAAGAGAACGCATGGATGTAAGGTGTAAAGTGCAGGGTGCTGATGCAGGAAGGGAACTGAGCTTCGAAGAGCTTGGGCTTTGGGCTTTGCGTTGATGATGTGCTTTTGTGGGGGATGCCCGTGTTCGGGGGTGTTGACGTGGGCACGATGACGGAATGTTAGATGGGCCTTGTCGGCGCGTTCGGACTCACGATGCGATGACGAGGCTGAGCTCATTCTCCTGGGTCCTGGCCCGTACAGCAAAATGACAAGAGTCATACTCTACCGACAAACCTTCAATCTATTGCTGCCCAAGTCGGGATCTCCGCCCAAACCTTTCTTCTTCCTCTCCTTCCTCCGCTACAGACGCAGGAAGCCGACCGTAGAATATACTCGGATAGATGCCTGCGAGCTTCCACAGCCATGAGTCCACCTCGCTAGCCCACCGTAGATCCATGTTTCCTCGCTGCATCCTCGTTTTTCCTTCGTACGAGCTCGCGGGTTCGGTAGCTAGCTCCCTATGCCATGCCATGCGGCCATCCCAGCGTCGGGCATCGCCTACGTGCGTTCTATATGCGTTCTGCCTAGGAGGCGAAGTCGACGATAATAGCGTTCCGAAGTCTGGATATCGCGCTACCTGGTTCATGCATGTTCGCAGCAAGGTTTGGAGAGGGAAAGAACATCGTAGCGTATGACGCGTGAAGAGAACCGTGGAAGGAAAAGAAGACAAGTCGTCGTCTAAAGCACTGGGCACCTACCAACCAGTGGGCTGTCCCGGACGCTCTTCTCGTATGCCCAATGACCTGTGCTCATGGGCTGATCATGCAGCTTCGCGTGGGATGCCGGCGAGATGGCACACTAAGGGCAAACCTTGCTAATTGGGGGTGTGCAAAAGGCAACCATGGTCGATCGTGAACGTTCGCCTTTGTTAGTACGACGCCAACATGGGAAAAGCATAGACAGAGGCTCAGCTGTCACGCCGTTGGAACTGGTACAGCGCACGGAGAGGCTGAGCAGCGAAACGCTCTGGGCGACTGTCGGAGACCGCCTAGTTGCATATGCGCCCTTCGGAACGCCTACCCGCTGTCAGTCTTACGCCTGTCCTTCTTGTGTACACGACCGGGTGTGAGTGTGCTGTTGTAGCTTGCCGTGAGGAGTGTGTGACTGTGAACACCTTTTCTCGGGCCGGTCGTACGTGTACGGGAAGCCGCTTGTGTCTTGGGCGTAAAAGCGGGAGTAGAGGCATGTCCAATTGTTCGTATGGCGGATGCAGCAAACTCAAACGCAGTGATACGCTCGTAGATGGGGATGTCTGCAGGTGGCTAGATGAGGACCATCGCTGTGTTACTTGCGTTGTCCAAGGGGGCTCGTTACAGTAAGGGGCGTTCCGAAGCATTGGACTGGGCGAACACATGTCGAGAAGCGGCGCAATGCTGTACCACTTGTGGGGATATCGTGCTAGCATTGAGCAACGATCTGATCATGTTGTGGAAGGTTTCTCGCAAGTGGCTGATGAGGCAGACTTGGGTGGCTATCGTGCAATCATGCAGCGCCATTGCATGTTCTTTGTGCGACTGACAAAGTTTGGCATCGCCCTAGGAGGAGAAGGAAATATGCGGAGATGCTCGCCGGTACGGAGATACTGGGTATCAGTGACTTGGAGATGCATTTCCGGTGTCAACGAACGAACGCGCACTGGCGATGGAAGGTTTTGGGTTCATGACTTGGAGCGACGCCTTTGCTGGTCTGGCCCGATGAACACCCAAAGTACTGTCGATGTGCACGGCCACGGATAACCGCATCGGCATGGAGGCATGCTTTTGAGATGTCTGCCTGGAAGAAGGGTCGATCACGTCGAGATGGACGTGCATAGCTAAAGGAACGAAGGGATTCCAGGCATCAGGTTCCAGCGACACAGCACAGACTGGTACCCGCAAGGTGGATGTCAATCGACAGACCCGACAGTTTGTTGTGAGACGGAACGGTGACACCGACAAACAACAAGCCACGAAGCTTACTGCGCGCAAGGTCCGCTCCTTACTTTGAGGCCTCAGATCGGCAATCCCTACGCAGAAGTAAGTATCCGGTGTGCAGTTTACCGAACCCGTTCGTCTATCTGTCACGCCGCACCTGGCATGTCACATGCTCACAAAGCGAAAGCGAGATCGCGCCTAAGCAAAAGCCAGTTCGAGGTACTTTCGGGGCGCACGAAAAAGCATGCTTCTGGGGTGCGTACGGGTGTCGGAAGAAAGAAAGAATTGGATGCAAGTACGGTATACGGTAGCAAGGAATGCCTCAGGCAAGTATTGGCGAACAGCCACAATATCCAAGAGCCGA